CTGTCGGCCCTGGCCGCACCGCCCGTGGAGTCGGCAGCGCCGCCGGCGCCGCCGGCGCCGCGGGGCCCGGCGACACCTGCCGCTACTGCGGACAGCCTGGTCACTACGTTCGCGAGTGTCCCGTTAAGCAGGCGGACGAGTCCGTCGGCCTTCACCGCAGCAACGCATTCGAGCAGCCGCACGCCGCCGGCAACATCAGTGGAGGCAGCTGCAACCGCCGCCGTGACGGCGGCGGCAGGGGCACTGGCAGCGGCAATGGTGGTAACAGCGGGGGCGACGGAGCACGCGAATGCGGCAGTGCTCGAGGCGGCAACGGCCACCGCAACGGCGGCGACACCGCAGGCGGCAACTGTGGCAGCGGCTCGGTCAGCAGCGGAAGCAGCTCACGCCAGAGCCGTGCCACAGTGCTGATCATCGACGGCAGTGGCAGCAGCTCACGAGCCATCCTCGACTCAGGCTCACCGTACCACCTCACGGGTGACCGCTCCCTGCTGCACAACTACGTCCCCGCCAGCGCGCCACGGCTGATCGAGTGGGGCAACAACCAGCCGGTCGATGTCGTGGGAACAGGGGAGCTGCACCTGCGTACACGCCCTTGCAGCATCGCGGTAGCCGACCTCGAGCGGCAAATTGACACTTTCGACGACTTCTTGGCCACCTGTACCGACTGCGAGGCATTGAGCGTCTTGCACGCAGCTGCGCACCACCGCGGTCCTGGTGCGTGTGCCTGGAGAGACTTTCGTCACATGCGGCGATTATCAGAGGGCAAAGGAGCTGCACGCCATGCGGAAAGTATGCGATGCTGTCACCGAATTGCTTAACCGCATTTTCGACTCCGCGCCGCATATGGAAATCCGGGATCGCCTTCTCATCGAGGACTACCTTCTGAAGCTCCTGTGGATGCAGACCCTGCAGGCCAGCAGCCGCCAGCTTGCCGAGGCACTGCAAGGCTTTATCCGGGAGATATCCGCTGCGGCGACCGTGCGCTCACGCAAGGAAGCGCTGGGCCGAGGATTCAGAATTCTGTGGGACACAGCGTTTCACATGTGTTATGCTCTCTCTCAGTACCCACGATTCTTACGCAAGACTAACTTTATTTCCAGCCTTGGGCTTGGTGGGCTTGATGACATCGGCTCCAACACCGACCCGCGGGCCGGTGGGGCCTGTGGTGGCAGTAATGGGGGGCCGTTCGTGAATGAACTGGCGGTGGCACTGCACGACAGCAGCATTCTTGAGCACCTGGCGCGGTCACTGCTGATGGCAGCGCTGGCAATGCCATTGCCCCACGGCGGTGGTGCAGACCAGGATCGGTGGTCCAACCCGTTGACCGGCACGGATGAGGAGAAGCTGTGGTCGGCGGGGCTTGGTCTCAAGCTCATGTCGTTGTACAGTGGCGTTGCTGATCTCCTGACTTCAATATCGACGGCGGCAGAGCTGGACCAGCTACGAAGAGTGCTGGCTGGCAGGTGTGCACGTACGGCAGTTCAGTTGTACGGCATTTCAATGTTGTGTAATGCTGACGGTTGCCCATCGTACGGCTTTCCGCAACATCTCCTCCACCGCATTCACACTGTGGCTATTGTCTCACCGACACTAATGAGGCAATCGATTCTGGCCATGTTACCCTCCCTGTACCCACATTGGGTCAAATTCACTGCCACCAGCTCCCCCGGGTCGTCATGCGAGTGTGGCGCTACTGCTCCGGGCCTGCCGCTGTGCACTGGCATCTACGGGAAAGCCGGAGCCGGTGGGGGGGGAAGCGGCAGTGGCTCCGGGGCTAACCGGAGATGGCCGCAGCAAATGCTGGCGGCGGGGGCAGCGGCGCACTTGCCACCGCCGCAACGTTACCTCCCGATGATGCCGTATAGCTGGCCTTCAGAGCGATCTTCTCGCTCACCCGCTACTGAGACCCCGCGCGCGTTCGCAGAGCTGGGCTGCGGAGGTGGCGGAGTGTTGGCAGCTGACGTTCAAAATTGTACAATATGACATGCTGCTTTTGAGACTTGATCGCAAGGATAAGGAATTGATGGGCAGGCTGCTAATAGATGGCTTTGACAGGACAGCAGGCTGGGATGGTGAGGGCATGGGCTAAAGGGGAGGAGTCTTTGTGTCTTTGTGTGAAGGAGATAAGGTCGGTTTGATTTCTGTTCGGTTTGGACCGGCATTTAAAGCAACTGGATTGCGTAAGGGCGGCATTCTTCTAAATGATCTTCTGTATTCGAATTGTTGCGGCGTCAGAGAGTCAACGTTCAGGTTGGCTCCGTTCCGGACATACTGCGCAAACGTTAGGCATCAGCAGGGCCGAGCTACGGCAGGGTTCAGTTATCTCGAAAATCTGACTGGATTTTGGGCTGTTACTAACTTAGGGCACACATGCGGTCGACACCCGGACCGCAGTGGTGCGTAGCTCTAGGTCCCACCACCACGAGGGGGTGGGCAGGGGGCCCCAGCTCAGCACAGCTGGTACTGGGGGGATTTGCAGGTTTTACGGGGTTTTAGGTTTCAACCCCGACCACAAGCATCACACACACACACACACACACCTAACTATCCGGCGCCATAAAGTTCGGGGTCGATTGCTGCTGTCACGTCCTCACTATCGAAGTGCAGCTCCTTTATATATGGGTATGATGACGACGATATGTGTGGAACCACTGCTGGTAGCCTAGGGCCATACGGAACCGGACTTGTCGTCCTAAAGAGATATAACGCAATGTCATCATTGCCGTACCCCTGCACAGGGCTGGAGGAGGAGACCCTGCTGACGGCTCTGGCGGGGCCGCCATCGCTGCCGCCGTACATGGCGGCGGCTCTGGCAGCGGTTTTCCTGCCCTGCCTAGAGCGCCTGTTGCGTCGTACAGCTCGCGACCCAGATTGCTCGGAGGCCGTAGTGGTGAGCGGCCTGGGGCACGATGCGGACTTCACCGGGCTGCTCTGGGCCCTTGCATTCGGTGACAGCAGCCAGGCAGCGGCCCTGGCGACGACAATCGGGAAGCTGCTGCGCCTGACCTGCAAGCCGCTGTCTTTGTTACCCAAGGTCACTCCCCGGGAGGACCCCTCCCCTCTCAGCGCGGAGCTGGGATTCGCCTTGCGCGCGGCCAGCGGCGTCCTGACGGAGGCGGTGCGGATGCTAGCAAAGGTGGGAGCTGCTGGTGCTCCCACGGCGATCCCAACTGTACGGCAGGTGCTGGCGGGTGCACAAGGACATGACGTTGGCAACTGCGGCGGAGCTGCTGGCGGCGGTAACAAGGGTGAAGCCGCATCACCGGTGCCACTGCAACCAACCACCCTTGGGCAGCTGTTCGAGAGGCTGCCGTACATCGCTGGGCTGTGGCTGCCGCTGCTTCTGGATATGTCGGAGTACTTGGTGAGGCCCGCTTTTGTGGTCTTGCACACTCAGCAGGCTCAGCTTGCTTCCACATGTGTTTCGGCCACTATTTCACTGGCTGCCACTACTTGCGGCGGCATCCCGTTCTGCGGAGGAGCGTGGACCCGTGGACTTGCTGGCGGCTGGCGAGGCCCCGGGGCCCGGCAGCAGCAGCAGCACGCAGACCGGCTTGCGGCCAACTCGTCATCAGCAGACATTGCAGAGTGCAGAGGGCCCTCGAGCTGCGGAGGGCGCGGAGGAGGCGGAGGTGAAGGCCTCGGGAGGCAGCTGTGAGGCCGTCGCCGGTCCCGCCGGCACCGGCGCCGTTAACTCTACCGTGCCTGCACCTGATTGTGCTGCCGGCAGCGGAGGGCGGAAACTGCCGCTTAACGACGTGAGGGCCGTGGACTTGCTCGGCTCCTCGGTCAAGGTGTTTCCTCTTCTGATGACCGTGGTGGAGAGCTGTAGAGCGGTGGACAGTGCTGCCTGCCATGAGGTGTCTGTCCTGGCCGCCAAGGCCCTCTGCGCCGTGACACTCGCCTGGCCGGAGGAAGTGCGGCACCATGCGGTGTGTCGTCGGGGCGCACGGGGAGATTGCTGGGCAACCAAGACAGGGCGAAGTGGCCGTGATGGCAGCGGCTGCAGTGGCGACAGCTGTGCTGGCCCGGCAACAGGAGGCCCACAAGGCATGAACCTCTCCACTTGGAGGCCCGGGACTGTGCAGAGCCTGGTGTGCACGTTGCGAAAACATCACCATGGCTCGCTGGCGGCTGCGATGCAGGCCCTGGCAATGCAGCTACATTACTGGTACGACGGCAATGAGGGCTGGGTTGCGGGAGTCCAGCAGCTCCTCCAGGACCCCCTGCCGGAGGTGGTTGTGCCGCCGGTATTGGTTTCGGAGGGCTCCCCCCGGTGGTGGCGGCCTCCCCCCAGCTGTGCAAACACCGGCTGTGTCAACTTGAGTGGCGACAGCGAGTCGGAGCTGCGGGGGCTCAGGTGCGGCCGCTGCGGCGAGGTGTCGTACTGCTGTCGGGAGTGCCAGGTGGCGGACTGGCGAGGGGGACACAGCAAAGCTTGCAAGGGCGGACGGCGGTGAGGGGCTGATGCCGGAGGGAAGATGTGGGCTAGACCCCGGGCTAGCAAAGCTTTTTGCTTCCTGCGTATATCCACGCGATATGGGTTGCGTGTATGTGATGTGGAGTGAGTGATGTGGAGGTATTGCCATTGGTGGTGGTTACCAGATGGCGCAAGGGCCCGGGGATGAAAGACAAATCATGACAGGGTCAGATGGCCCCTCTCCGCATGGGAAGGCGGGATATGCCGGGATGTATCCTACAGCCGCAGGCGAACCTGATTGTGGTCTTAAGGCGAAAGCAGCTTGAGGGCCCTAAATTATTTTTTCTTTCATTATGTTTAGCAATACCTATTTGGCGATTCGTCTCGTTTGAATCTAATGGAAGGTGCGGTCGATTTGTGCTGCGAGGATGTCAAGGACATGTATGACTATATGGGGCTGTGGGGGTCTACGTCTCCCGGTATGTCTGTGTGATGACCCTTTGACTGTCACATTGTCCTTTCCTATCAATTTGTTGCATTGAGCGACAAACTGCTATGCAGAGAAAAGCTCTTGTTGCTGCTGCTGCTGCCTACATCCGTAAACCCGTATTCAAATGTCACAAAACATCACAACACCGTCGCAAGTGCGAGGTCCAACAGCCTCTGCATCTCGGGGACGGACCTCCCGAGATCGGGAGCGTCTCTCTCCCAGCAGCAGGCCTTGCTTCTTGCGTTGTGTGTATGAGACATGCACACACCCGCCGCCTTCTCCCCATTCCGATACCACAGCACAGCCCGTGTGACCCCCTTCCGTGGGTCCGCAGGCACTACTCTGGATTGCAACCTCCTTAGCTCCGGATCCCCTTCCTCAATCAACGTCATAGCTGACCATGTAAGAGCTATTTTACCATCCACCAATCCCACAGATCGACTGCATGGCCCGTTGCGCCCCAACAGATTGTCAATATTAGACAATCTCTGTATTGTTTATGACCCTGTTGCTGTAATACACACACTCAGACGAGGGAACCGGCAGCCGTTAGTAAAGGACCCAGTCCAAGTTCATGCATGCTTATCTTCTACGCTACCCGTTACCATCACACAACGCTGCGCCAGGGCTCTGGGGTCTATGCTGAAACCCATGCAGTCCTACACACTCCCCAAACACCTCCAAACACAACCCGCATACCTCACCACGCAAGGACAGCACGGTAAATACGAAGTCCAAGTCCAAGAAACGCAAAACAGTGGAACGCGCGAGGGAAGAGGGTTTGGTCACGGCGCTGTCTGGGGGGCTCCAGCTCAGCACTCGTCCTCGTTCAGCAACATGTTGGGTATCCCCTTGGACACGGGGAACTTGCGGCCAGTCTCCGGACAGATCAACGAACCCTCCTCCAATGTCACCTGTAGCCACAGGGGAGCCACCAGGGGGCCCAGAGGGGGAAGAATGTTGCACGGCCCGTTCCCAGCAACACCACTGCGTGTGTGACCACTGCCCCGACACCAACGCCGGATTGCGGACAGCTCCGAACGTCGTGGTAGGACACCGGGGTTGCTGAGGTGAAGCGTGTGTGCGTGTTTGTGTGACGTGGCGGCAGGCTGTCTGATGCAGGTGCAGGTGTGCGTTTAAGAGCGTTTGCCGTATCGTTCGCAAAAGAGACGAGACGGAGAGTGACTACCCGTTACACGAGTTGCTGGTACCTGCCCCGGAGGGGTACTACCTGCAGAGTTGATGTACTGCTTCCCTGGAGGAGACGTGTGCATCGAAGCACGGGGGCTGTCGTGTACCAGAACGGGGGTGGCACTAGCGCGGCGAGTTTCAGTGGAGCCAGTACTGACGATGATTAAGAACTCGCCAAGTGCCCGCCCAGGCCACTCCCAACGCCTAAACCTATGGTTGCGCAGCTCTTACGGCAACTCCTGCCGAAACACGCATAGCGCGCCACAGATCACTCACAACAAATATATAGAAACCCTTGGTTTAATGCGCTTTGTTTATATAGCCTTCGAGATGCTGCATGAAATTTGCATCCTGTGCACAGTAGCGGCTAATTGGCCCAACAACCGCCTTCCCGAGTCAAACACACTCGGAACAAATCCCTATCGTACTCGCCATGACCCCCTTAACCCGTGTCCAACCATTCAGTTTTGGATTGCGGGACCTTATAGCAGCTACGGAGCACGTACCCCTGTACAGCTGCAAACAAACCTCTACCCAGGTCCGTCCAGAACCCGACACGGTTTCCCAATATAAACCACCCTGCTACGCAACCCTTGCCGCTGCTTCACTCCACAGAACTCGCGCAACGCATGGCCCGCAGTGTATCATCCCCCCATCGCCAGCACTCCCTTCCCCGCACCTCGAGCAGCGCGTGGTGGAAGGCCTTTTGGAATTGCTCGTCCTCCAAGGCGGACTCATTGGGCGCCTCTGGGAGGCCCTCCCTGCAGCCCATCTGGGTCGAGAAACGGCCATTCGAACCGGGATCGGATTGCGACAAATGTGAGCCAAGCCAGGCAGTGGGGAGGAGAGCAGAGGAGGTAAGGAATGGGAGAGGCGCTACGATGTGGTGCGCAGTCCATCGAAGGGTACTGTCCCACCGGGGTTCCCCATGCGAGCCGGGCGGGGGCCGGACAGGAAGGCTGTGGCCGGACAGCGATGGCACCCAAGACACCAGTGAAGCGAAACGAAAGAAGGCATTTCGCCGGACTTTATGCGCCCCAACCAGCACAGACTTTACACGCCTACGACTACTGCATGCAGCTCATTTTTGTGCAGCAGTGATTTAATGCGCACGAGTGCCACAGACGGGTATACGTGTCACAAGCGTTGGTGGAAAGGGACCACTGAGAATATGGACAGTTCGCCAAGCTGAGGGCCGAACAGTGTCCCCTTGGGGACAGGCTTTGGGGAAAGCAGGCGCCCTTCCCTTGTGGCTCTCCGCTTACCGCTTCAGCTCCTTGTAAGAAGGCGGGCCAGTTGATTCGGGGGAAAATGTGCTTCAAGAAGTCTGCGCTTAAGAGCGGGCGGGGTGCGGGTAGGGTGGAGAGTTGGCGGAGCCTCAGTTGGCGGTTGGGAGCAGCTTCCGCGAGAGCATGTACGCAGACGGCAAAGCTCGGAGCGGGATATGTTACAAGGGATGCGCTTCTCCATCGGGTCAGTTGTAAGGTGGACCGGGAGGCAGGCGCGAGGCAAGGGGCCGCGGTAAGTGGCGTGCTACTGCTGCTGCTGCCGCTGCTGCTGCCACACGGCATTTTTGGCCCGCTGAGGAGAGCTAGCTACTACTCCTCGCCGAGAGGCGTTTGAATCCGTACAGCTAAGTTCCGGACTGCACCTGTGTCAAAGTCGGCTTCGTGCTCCGACACCTTCACGACCTCGATGAGGAAAGGATAACCGCTCCTTACTCCCTTAATATGGCAAGAAAGCATATTGTGGGTAAGGAGCTTCATCTACTTAAGCAAACACGGCAGTAGAGGTAGTTGCTAACGGTTTCCCGCTCACAGCAAGTTAGAGCGCTGTATTACACAGCCTTCGCCTAATGGAGGTGAACCGTACATAATTGATATGTTAAGATAAAGAAGGCAAAGTGGGAGGCTGGACTATTTGTACGAGAAGCTGCCGTACAGGGCGGCGCTTCTTTTTGCAGCTTGCCTGCAGCTAATGCCTTCCTCTTTCACCCTTCGTCCGTGAGGAAAAAGGGCGCAGCCATGGTTAGTTTAGTGCGCACATTCTTTGGCAAAACGCGCGTAGCTTAGCTTACGTCTTTTTTGTTTCCAGGGTATCGACCTCAAGGCGGGTGGCCGCAGCAAGAAGGTGCATCGCACCGCCCCGAAGAGCCAGAATGTTTACCTGGCCCTGCTCGTGAAGGTAAAATAGTAACAAGTCAGCCGATGTTAGTCGTGTTGCAACCTCTTCTCACAGCCGGCATTTTGCAATGTAGCTGTACCGCTTTCTTGTGAGGCGGACAGATAGCAAGTTCAACAAGGTCATCCTCAAGCGCTTGTTTATGTCAAAGACGAACAGGCCGCCCCTGTCTCTCTCCAAGCTCGCCACTTTCATGAAGGGCAAGGTGCGTCTATGTGAGCTTCTACGTTCAATATGATTAATCACGAAAGCTTAAAAAATATTGTGGACAAAGCACTAGGGAAAAGCTTGCTTGGCGGCCTAGCATTGAGGGCAGGGCTTGCGCTCGCGCAGGAGAACAAGGTTGCTGTGATCGTGGCCACCGTCACTGACGACGTGCGCCTCTACGAGGTGCCGAAGCTCCGTGTGGTTGCGCTGCGCTTCACGGAGACCGCCCGCGCCCGGATTACCAAGGTTAGAAGTCCCCAAAGCCTTATAACTATTTTTTGCCATTAAAATGTCCATTCTCAGGCAGTGATGGCAGCAGCAGTTGTTTCTTTTTGGGTAGCAGAAGCTCTCGGCGGCAGGCGGCGGCTGGGCTTCAGCAGCAGCTCCTAGATGTCAGCGACTTTCGTCAGGGACCTTGCCAAATGAACGTATAACATTCAACATCATCGAACCTCGCGAATGTCAGCTGCTCGGGAGCGGTGGACTGTTGTCTTAAGGTTTTCTTTAGTTGCTGGAGGTCTTTGGATGCAGGCATTACCTTCAGCAAGTTCACACTCGCAATTGTCTGCCTAGGAGCTGACCGCTCCATATGGTGGCGCGAAGTTTTAACCCGACTATCTGTAATGTACCCTGACAGTGCTGCTGGAAGTTTGGACCGGAGATTTCTTCTTCACAGATCAGCCCCCCTGCTCTTGGGATGCAAGCCATTAGTCTTATGGATTGGGACCATGTTGTGCTGACCAGCACCGTGGGATTGCAGCTGACTGCGTGCTGCACGCGAGGCAGCAAGCGAGCTGTGCGGCATGGAATATCAGCTGCAGCATTGATAATGGGACCGGCTTTAACGGGAGTTTGAGCAGTGGCTGTCATTTACGGACCAGGATACTGCTAGTGTATGCATCGTATGGGTTCTTCAGGGCTCGCCGTGTTCCTGTTTCTGTCCATTCCTCACAGGCCGGTGGTGAGTGCCTGACGTTCGATCAGCTGGCGCTGGAGCGCCCGACAGGCAAGGACTGCGTCCTGTTGCGCGGTCCCAAGAGCCACCGTGAGGCCGTCAAGCACTTCGGGCCTGCTCCAGGTGAGTGGGGCAATCACCTGTGGTCGTGCTGGGCTTCTTGATGGGAATCAAAGGTTTCGGGGCTGCATGGAAACATGGCAAACCAGCCATTGGCAAAGCATGCTAGAGTCTCGCACTTGGCCTAATTGGCATCGGCAGGGAGGACACGTGCATTGGGGAAGAAGAAGTGGGCACTAAGTTTGGTATAATGCCCGATTTTTATTTAAGCATGTCCAGCATTCGATTGTGGAAATCGGGCGATAACGTTCGTGCCGGGGCATGCGGTGTAGGAGCAGAAAATGCGAAACAGCTGGCTTTTCGGATTCTAGTCCTGTTGTGACCATTCTATGCCGACTAATCTTGCTGGCATGCCGGAGTATGGCGGGGATCCAGTCCATGTTGACTTTTGCAGTCATAACGGATGGGTTTGGGCCGTATATAAGTGCCTCTGCTGCGGTTGTCCGCAACGGCTCTCGTACTGCCAAGCACGCACCAATATAAATGACTGATGTTACATTGACCGAAATCCCACCCCACATTGCATTAAGTCGAGTGCTGAGATGCATCTAAGATATTTCGTCTACATCTACCTACCTATGTGGCTGGGCGCCTAACTTGCCGTAGTGGCGCAGTCCTTCGCCCTTAGCTTCGCAGCTCATTAGCATTATTGGGCAAAAGGGGTTTGCTAAGAAGTGCATGAGTTTTGGCAGGTTTCGTCTGCTTGGGCGGGTGTCGCGCTGCATCGTGCTTGATGCAACGCATGATGCATTTTCGGGTCGTGCGGTTAACACCTAAAACCAGCTTTATTACTGCATATTAACTGGGTCTTGCTCCGCCGCCACGTCGTCACCGGCGCGTTGCAGGTGTGCCGGGCTCCACCACGAAGCCGTACGTGCGCGCGAAGGGCCGCAAGTTCGAGAAGGCCCGCGGCCGCCGGAAGAGCCGCGGCTTCAAGGTCTAAAACCGTCGCAGTCTGCTTACAAGTGCTGGCGCTGCTGCAGTGGTTGTTTTCTGTCCTTGTTTCCCATCGCTGGTGTAACACGAAGTACGGACGGTATACGTGCCCCAGTTTGCCCACAGTGTGAAACTTAAGACGCAACCGCGAATATAGTAGGCATGGCTGCTTTTTCACTTATTGCGAAACATGCACATACATTAGGGCACGGAACTGCTCAACTTGCTTGGTTAGGCGCTGTAGATGGCCCAAGATTAATACAGCACAGGCCCTTATCTTAATGGCAGAGACAGCACTGAAGTGTGGCAGATAGCATTTCGCGGACACGGATACTCGCTGTGTTTTTCTAAGGATTCTTGCAAAGGGGTAACCGAGGGAGATGCTTGGGGACGAAAAGAATGGGGCTTAGTGATGTTGTGATAACCTTACGTTCATTAGGGAAAGTACGTGAACTAGACACCTTTTCCCCCATTCGTCATATGCTAAACTGAGGTTTATGACGGTAGCAGCGACTGTAGTAAAGAGTGTTCAGGTGACGTAATGTGCCGTTGGCGGGCTGTCGCCAAGTTCGCTTCGTTCGTACTATCGCTACGAAAACAGCAAGTCCAAGTTCATGGAACGTATCAAGTTGAAAGCGCATGCATGGCCGCCGCAGCAAGAAGACCCCATACACCGGGGGCCATGTCATTCACAGCATGTTGGCCTGCCGCAGAGACGAGCGTGCATCTACAGACGTAATACAATGATGTTCATGCATCCATCGCCATCTACATCACCCTCTGGCCAGTAGCCCCGCCTGCCCTTGGCCCGCAACCGTTTGAAGTCGGGACCGCCCCACCTGATTTCGCCGTCCAACGAGGTTGCAACTCTCCCTTAGGATGCAACAGCTCGTACTATGTACAGCAATCTACGTCCTTCCCCATGTCACTGTTCACAAAACCCAATGGCAGGGAGTCCCAATGCAGGGCACAGGTCCCCGGCGCGCATGTTTTTCAAGGGCTGGGGTCTCCCCGCTTGTGCTGAACGTGGGATGAAGGAAGTGCACATGCGGATACCGGCGCCAACTTAAGACGCAAGGGTATGGGCGCCATTGGGTGGCACTTCCGTGCCGGCCATAGTACCCTGGGTGCTGTATGTGACCACCCTTGCCTCACACACGAGCCGCAGCCACGCACAGCTCAGGCAGGGGTGGAGCGCTCGGGAGCAACCCCACCCGCGCACGCATTTAACGTTCCGAGGTCACATGATTGTCATCATTTGACCACTACCAAAACCGATGGGTATACAAACCGATCGTGAAACCACAGGAGGCAACAGCAATGACCACATCACACGTCAGGCACAACCAGCAAGCAACACGACACAGTCAGGGCATACCACAGGGCAGAACGTTCCACGTTATATGGCACGTTACGCAGCGCCCCCCATGTACACTGAGTACACCCCCCATGCACACATCGGCACAGCACCAGAGCGACTCGGTGTACCCCACTCCCTCAGCGGTCAATGACTCACCAGCGAAATAAAATATCCCAAAGCCAAATACTACGTGGCCCTCATGCAGTGTCCCTAAACACCATCACTCCGGCCCGGCATGAACGGATGAGCCCAAGTACATGGCCCGGTACGCCCTTGGTTCCCAATGGGACCTGCAGCCCGACTAGATGTACGGCCTCGTCCTCCGCGGCGGCGATGAGGGCCTTATCCACAGGGCCGTCTAATTGGAGCTTGGTGGGTGTGTGGAAGCGGTGGCCTGCGGAGGGTGCCGGGTGAGTCCTCAGCGTCTGTGACAGCAGCAACAACGAGCTCCACCGGAGTAGGAGTGCTACACACCACGGAAGTCCTCGACAGCTGAGCTGCGTAACCTAGAAGGGCGTGCTTTTGCCCCCTCTGTCTGTGCAAATATACTTCAGGGTTTCCAGAGAAAACAAATTCAAAGCTCATCGGGAATAGCAATGCAAAGGTCGCAGGTTTAAAATCAGCAGCAACAGTCGCGCAGCTCCTCAATACACACGCAGGCCAAAAGCTGGACGCCAGAAATAGAAAAATCCTATTACTATTAGGAAGGTCCGCCTCAGCGATGGGGCACTACATTTTCCGCCCCACGGCCTCCGCCCGCACTCCAAATGGGTGGGATCTGACACTCTAGGCAGGACACGTCCCCTACGAGCTCCTTGCCGGAAACCTCCCCACAGCCCGCGGCACCCACTTGACGAGATGTCGCCAAAGTTGTCAATGAGACGGCGCTGCATCTGCTGCTGCTGTGTGGTCATTTGCCGGGTGGGGTGGTGGCCGGCCAGCACCAGCTTATCGCCGCGCATGGGCTCCATGCAGGAGGAGCACAGAAAGTTGAGTGCGGGCCTCGAAGTGGGGTCCACCAGCACCATGCAGCGAAGCGCAGTACCTGGAAATGAGTATCAGTACCCGGCGTCAAATGCGGTGGAGGTGGCCAGGTCAGGAATGCCGGCAAAGAGCGGAGAGCGCCCGACAGCCCACAGGACAAAGCCATTTTACTTCTTGGCCACACACCAAGCCACATAGCCGTCCACGTACCGTCAGGGAAATACGGGATGCATACATGTGCTTGTATCCACAACCGCGCACAGTCATGCACGCAAGTCAAGGTTCCCTTTCCCCAAAGCGCAGTCACGTCTTGAGTTTGTCCTTTTGCCCCCTCCTAACCCCCAGACTCCGCCTCCCCCCTCCCACTCACGTCTCTGCGTGAGCACCAAGTTCTTGCAGTTGCTGGTGGCCACCGCTACCGGCAAGGTGAGCCGCTTCAGCACAGACAATGTGACGGAGCCCATGACAGAGGCTGTGTTAAGGTTGGTCATGGTCAGGGCTGCTGAGGCCATTACCACCAGGTTTGGAGCCAGGCGGGAGGCAGCGCCTTCCATCACCTCCAGCAATCCATTGACGCCCTTCACAAGGACCTCAGAGTGCGCCTCGATCATGGCGTTTGAAATCTGCGAGGCAATTCGAGGTCGGGGACTAGGATGGTGTCCGTATCGCGGTGGTGGTCGCGTTAGGACAGGCAAACTGGACTTGGACAAGAACCGAACGCAGGCGCAGTGTTACAGGGCGTTATGAAAACAAAGTAACAAAAGCGGTGCATCTGCTAAGCGGAAACAGTGGAGACCCGCATGAGACCAGGACGCAAATGGCCGGGCTCAAGCAAAGAAGTCCTCAAGCCAAGAGAGCCTCCAGAACCAAACGTTATCTTCATAGTCAACCGCAGCAGCCGCGACTCTTCTTCCACGGTCGCACACGCACCTGTTTGAGGTATTTGAGCAACAGCGCCTGCCCTGAGGGCATCTGTAGGCTGTTGTGAACAACCGTTACCAGGTGCACGACATCGCGGCCAGGCCTGAGAGGTACGACGCGGAAGAGGGAGGTGGCAGGTGGGGGGAACGGCCGAAGGTGGGTTGGAAGGACCAAACCACGTGTGCATGCCCTTGAGCACCACGTCCGCATCCGCATCTGGAGAGTCCTATTTCCCTATACCCCTATCACCTCATCTCTATCTCAGGGTCTATCATACATGTGGCTTTCCCCGTCACAAAATTTCAGCTTAGCCGCATTCTTCCGCACATTCTCCTACCATCCCCCATCCCGAACCTTTGCATAACCCAGGTCCATGTCAGGGACATCCCCGGAGCCCACCAGCAATGCCTGCGCCACGCCCTTCGCCGTCGCATCCTCTTACACGCACCTCATCACGCGCAACCACACCCTTCTCCAACCTTTGCACCTGCCCGCGCCTAGTTCTCCTTCCCAACGCAAGCCCTTTTCACACCCACCTCGCCATTAGCAGCACAAGGTTCACCGCCAGCTGAGTGACTTCATTAGCCGCAATATACAGCAGGATGCGGATGCCGGGCTTGGTCGTCATCAGTACCATGGCGGGCCGGGCGCCTGCAACGGCCCCGCCGCTGGACGCAGCAGCACCGTCGCCACCACCGCCGCCAGCGGCAGCGGCGGCGTCCGCTAAACTGGCCATGTCGCTGGAGGCGGCGATGATGTCCCTGAAGGCGGCTGAGTGGTCCTGGGCCAGCAGCAGCGGGATGAGGTCATCCACCTCCTGCGGAAAGAATGGCGTTGACGAAATTTTGTAACGGGAAAGGACATCACGGTAGCCCGGGGAAGCGAGTGAGCGACGGCGCCGGAAGGTGACGGCAGGCAGACGCGGCGTAAATGCAGTCAAGTCGTAGGACTGGTTTGAACTGGTTTGGGAATTCTTCTTTACACTTTTGTTGGCTGGCTGGCTGGCCAGAGCCGCTGGCAACAGCTCCAGCTATTCGAGCGGAACAACTGGAAAGCCCAAACTGAACCCTACGATCCCCGGTCCCTACAGCAGTGGTTCTTCAGACACCCTCACGTTCGGGCTGGTAAGGATCGCTGGACTGTTCCGGGCATGCACCGCCACACACGCCAACCGGCGGTCGGCGGTAATGTCGGCGGCGTCCAAAGACAGTCGGGCCACATCCCCCGCCATGAACAGCTTGGGCCGGAAGATGCCCAGCGTGTTAAGCATGGCTGTGCAGGCACGGGGCCAAAGGGAGTAAAACGGGTTGGGGTATGAGGGTGATGAGGGTGATGTGGCGAGCACTTATCAATCTACATATCAATAGACGATGAAATTGTCTTAGTAATAAGGGTATTATGATAGTAATAAGGGTTGCAACATATAAGGTGGCAGTGGGTTGCTTACAGTGGCATGTGTCTGGCGGCGGTGACCTACGGTTGGGGCAAGGCAAAGCTCTACCATTAGCCTGTCCCGCAAGCGCAACATCCCCGCCGTCCCCTCTAGACCCTTCCGCTCATACACCCGTCCCTGGCCATCCCCATTCCCCTTCCGGCCTCACCATGTAATGTAGGTACATGCAGGAGGTAGCGCTGCAGGCCCACCCAGCCATCGTGCCCCGCTTGCTTCCGGACTCCGGCCAACACCTCGACCATCACCGGACTGCTGAGCTCCGCGGCACGTAGGTCCACAACAACCGCATTGGCGCTGCCGCTGCTCTCCACGCCCGCGGCGCTGGCGGCGACGGAGACGACACGTGTGGGGACAAGGCCAGTGGCGCCCGCGCTGCCCGGCGGGGTCTTGATCGTGAGCAACGTGGAGTCGTAGGCGCGTGGGATGGTGAGAGAGGCGGCGGGCGCGGCCTGTGGGGCACAGGTTGCGAGACGCAGGCAAGGTGGTAGGTGTGAGGGGGTCGCATCGGATGCAGGTTGTGAGGGATGGAGGGAGCCTGGTGGCGGGTGGGTAGCAGCGAGTTGCACGAGGTAGTTAAGACGCCGAACGGTGCGCCGCCATCACACGCCGTCCAGGCAGCATGCAACGCGGTTCGCGGTGTCCGTGGTCTGACGTCGGGTGTTTCCTTTGGGTTGCTAACTACGGAGCGTAGCTCCAGACCGAAACACGGCAACACGGCAGCAGGGATGTGACCCGGACGGCGGCCGGCCCTTCCCACTCAATGCACCGGTACCCACTTCCAACCCAAAGGAAGTGAGGCCCCTTCCAATACCACAGCTGCCTGTGCCCTCCTTTGAGTGGTGTCAGTGCGCATGGTTGTCTAAAGCCATCATCCGCTTCTACAACCCAACCCGGACATCTGTACCCACATTCCAATCTTCCCCTTCCACCCACCTGCACTACCATATTTCCGCCGTGACGGTCCGCAGCATACAAGCTAAAGGCCAGATGCTGCAGGTCCAGGACCCCCTCGGGCGTCAACAGCGCTAGGTCACGAGCCCGGCGGCACACCAGCCACTCCACCCGCTGCTCCGCGAACCGCTCGAGCAGCGTGCGGGCCATCAGCATGGCCAGCTCCCCCTCCCGAGTCACTGAGAAGGCATCACCCAGCCAGGCTAGCTGGCACAGCGAGTAGCCGCTCCCCAGGACCTGCGCCGGCGTGGAGGGGTCCTGAAGGGCGGGGAGGAGGGGGTGCACAAGGGGATTAGGATGTTAAAGGGAATGGGGAAGGGGAACAGGGTGGGTGAGAGGATCAGGAGTTTCTATTTGGGAGGTGGCGTGCGCGGTCTGTAGATTAGGGGAAGCGTAGGAAAGGAAGTGGCAGGCGTGGAAATGTGGCGACGTGGTGAGAATCGTAGGATGGATGGCAGAAGACAGAGGGGAACGAGCGGTACCGGCCTTGGCAATTGGAATGTGGGAACGCAGGTGCAGTAAAGCCGAGCTGACCGATCGTGGAGCTAGCCAATGAAAGTGAGCGAAGGGATCCACTGGGGGCGGCGGCGGTGGCGATGGGCACTGAGCAACCTGCTCTTCCCCACTCCTCTCCATCTCCCCCAACGGCTCCTTCCCTTCCAGGTACCTTTCTCCACGTGTCCGCCGGCAACTGCACATCGATCTGGCCACTTTATTTGCTCCTTCCTCCCCCCACCTTCCCCGCACCCTTCCCCCTTCCGTACCTCTAGGAACGCCTGTGCATCCCGGTCGTACCGGTAGCCGCAGCGCTTCCGTTGCGCCGTCAGGATGAGGTTCTCGGGCTTCAACCTGCGCACGTGTGGTATGGGAAGTCACAAAGCTCAACGAGGACACCTACGGAAGGACGTCCGCATCGTGCCGGGTCCCCCGGCAGCCAGGCAGGTCAGGGCGGGCACGAACAAACGGCGCCGGTGCAAGTGTGCGCGCGCGGGTGAGATATTCAACGGACCTGGTACATCCAAACAACCGCCAAAACAATCCCGCGCAGCCCGACCGTGGGGCATCCCCGCCATTCCTCCGCACTCACCCGTAGGACCTGGTTCGTATGATGTCCGCCACCACTGCGTTGCGCTGGTCGTCATTAATGGCTAGAACCACCGTCAGTTTGGGCACCGCATCTCGACCCGCCAGGGACTCCACCGCCAGCACCAGCTGCTGCAGCACCCGGGCGCCCAGAGACACCCCCTCGATGCGCTCCGACAGGGGCAACTAAGGAAAACAAAAAAGCGGAGGAAGCGGGTGGGTGAATATTTGCCGGTGTGTGTGTGTGTGTGTGGATGTCCGAATGTCAATGCAGGTGCAAGTGGTGGATGGAGGGGAAGGAAAAGGGAAGACACGGGGCTTGGGGAGGGAGTAGAGTATGGCGGCTGTTCGGTACGAGTGGGCGGAGGAAGGAGGAGCGGGTGGGAGGTAGGGAGAGACAGCAAGCCTGGGACGGCCGTCTTGAACCAGTTCAGGACGGAGGGGAGCATACGCAATAAACACAGAAGGTTAAAGAAGGTTCGGAGGATACGCTGCGGGGAGGAGTCCCCGTGCAAAGTAGGACCAGGATGACTCGACACAGCGGACTCACACTCCCGGGTCGAAGCCGCTGTGCCAGGTTCCATGGGTCGCTAGTCCAGACATCCATGCTCGTCCCGTCCGGCAGCTGTACGGCATCCGCGCAGGCATCAATGTGCACCGCCATTGCGCCTGCTTTGAGCATGCGCAGCACCGTCACCTTGTACGGCACCCATGCGTCAGATGCACAGAATCGCTCCTGCTCCGGAACGGACAGCACCGTAGGCGGTGCCCACTGTTGCGTCTCGGCCCACGTAGCGTTGACACGGTTAGCGTACATCCCCATGAGCTGTTGTGCCTTGGACAGCCGGGCGGAGGCCTCTGGGTCCAACAACAACGGCGGAGAAGGCGGAGGAGGTGGAAGCGCCGCCGCTGCTGCCGCCGCAGCGGTGGCGGGCTGTACATTACAGCCTGCTAGAGACGACGGTGACGGAGGAGGGTTGGGGGAAGAGGCGGCGGGGGGTTGGGGAGAGATGGAGGAGTATGCGGAGGATGGGCGGCCGCTGCGGACTCGTTCCACCGTACCCGCGGGCCCCAGTGGTGGCTTACTCGGTGGGAGCGGCGGCAGACCGGCGGCTGAGGCGGGCCCCGCAGCAGTACACACGGCAGCGGCGGCGGCAGCGGCGGCTACTGCGGAGGAGGTGGAGGATGTCGTGGTGGCGATGCTCGTGGCTGTGGTGATGGTGGTTGCTGCGGTAGCGGCTGATGATGATGATATCGTGGTTGACGTCGTACTTGAGAGGATGCTAGAGGTGGCGCCGCCGCCGCTGGAGTTGTTGGACGGGGGGTCCGAGGAGGTGGAGGAGAGGGCGACTGCGGGGGATGAGGTGGAGGAGGCGGCGGAGGTGATGGAGGCGGAGCGAGGTGATGGGCGGAGAGGGTGGGCAGGCGGCGGTGGGGGGAGGGGGACCGGCACGGCACCGGGGCTGAAGGGCGGTGCATCGTCAGGGGTAGCAGCCGTGGGGGTTGAGGAGGATGTGGGGGGGGCGGCAGCTGGGGAGGAGGCGGCGGCTGGGGAGGAAGCGGCAGGTGGATGCGGGCTTAGGGGTGAGGTTTGGGCTGGGGGCCCGGGGGAGATGGGACCAGATGCGGGTGCGGGAGGATGTGGGTAGCGAGCGGGACTGGAAGAGGCGGGTGGAGCGGGCCCAAGGGCGGAGACTGCACCGATGGTCTGTCCAAGCAGAGACGGGTCCAGAGACAAGGTTCGTGCGCGCATGCCTGCTGGGGTCGGGGGTCCCGGAGGGGGGAAAGGGGTAGCCAGGGAGGTGGGTATAGACGGCAGTCGTGATGAGGTGAAACTCTGTGGAAAAGAGGCGAGGAAACGCCGTGCCGGAAGAGTGAAATTTTACTGCAATAGTGTTTCCCGCTTCCGCCACCTTGTGCTTGCACCTGTCTGTAACTAATGCTAACTGCAGCTGCCCAAGACCCTGCAATTGGGGATCCAAAAATATTGCACAACATTAAAGCAATGGGAAAAAATGAAGGCGGATCCCCATCCAGGCAATTTAATTTGGTCGCAACCAGGTAGAGAGATTACGGACGAGTGACGCGGGCGCCCGGCCCGGGGGCAGGCCACGCCATTCACGGCCCAGCACCATTCGCACCTCACGGCCATCCGTCCAGACCCCCCAGCCCCGCGTATATCACCCTCCATCCCCCATACCTGTGCTGATCCCTGGACCGTGCACATCCCTGGCTATGATCCCACGCCGCTTTCCCGCCCCTCTCCATCCTCCGCCCTCTTACTCCCTCTCTACCCCCTTCTCTATCCCTTCCTCAGGCAGGGATTCGGCAAATTTCTCCCGTTAGAGCATTACCCCATCCAAGATATATTTTCATCCGACGAATTGTCACATGATTTCCCCGTAGAGTCGCGCCCACCTGGGCTCGCCATGGGACTTAGGGGGGCCCCCGGGGGCAGTCCTCCACCACCATTGGCGAGCGCCATCGCCTCCCGCAGCTCCCTCATGCCCCCAGCCGCCAGTGGTAACGCCAGCGGAGAGGCCGTGGTGGTGGATGGGGCTCCCGTGCTGTCACGGGCCTGGCACAGTGCGTCCAGGATGCTGCCGCCACTGGCGCCACCTCCCGCGCAGGCGAGGGCGGCAGCGGCTGCCGCAATGCTGGCGGCCTTGTCGGGGGAGCGCGAGGCGCCGCTGCCCAACGGGGTGCCGCTGCCTGGGGTTGCATGGACGTGGATGTGCGATGCCGTGTGATGCGGTGTGGGTTACGTGTGGTGTATTGAACCAAGAAGTGCGTAGCTCGTATTCGCTTTCAGCTAATTAAACTGTAATGTGAATTATGTCGTTGTGAACTACGTGCATTGCGTGGTTTGCGTTGCAGGTTGCAGGTGCAGGCAAAGCCAGGGCCAGATCTCGCGATCACACACAAACACACACGGGGTCGGGGGAACCGCGATGGACGTCGTGGGACACACAACAACACAGCTTACCCCAGAGTAGGGACTCGTGGCTCCGTGGCAACGCGGCCGCTTCTAAGCTACAGCGGGAGCATTCGCGGTGGTGGCAGGCAGCCAAACCCAAGCCCACACATGCAGACAGGCTCGTTCGTCTACATACCCTCTGTCCGACTACCCGGCTCTACGCTATATTCCTCAGGAAATCGGCCGTCCCAAGAACATCACGCAACAGACCATCCAATGCCTCCCCCTGGCTTTTCCACTCTGCCACCGCACTCGTGTGGAAGATGTAGCACTACATCACTAGTGATGCGACACGGGAATTCGCCGCACGGCTGGCTCACCGCTGTTCCCCAGCTTCAGGGGCCCAAGCCGTGAGGGTGAGGATGCAGCGGCCACGTTGCCCCGCCCCGCCGCATCCTCGCCGCTCACTAGGGCGCCAGCCTCCGCAAGAAGGGCCAGACGGCGAGCTGCATGGGTCCGGTGGGGCGCGGACGGTACGAGATAAATAGAAGTGTCCGCTTGCGGGGTTCATCCAAGGCCGGCATGCAAGGGTTTGTGTCTGCGTGGCTCGTTTGACGTTTTTCGCAGGCACGCACCTACACCTCTGTGCGCGTACTTTCGGTTGCCTTTCGGATCCACTGTAACGTGGCGTGCATACATTTACACGCACGTGCTCGCGCTGCGTTTCCACGTAGGCCATGTTCCCTTCGGACCCGTGCATGTGCACATCCCCGTGTGTGGCGCTATCAGTACTACCACAACTAAGCGTGTATGCTCTCCAGCGCGTGGGTGCCCCACCTTGTGCCACCGTCATGGGCTTTGGTGACGGCACCTGCCCGCCGGCACCGCCGCCGCTCACACCGTTCGAGCTTGAAATGCGCGGTAAGAAGCCCCCATTCGATCCGGCGCCGCCTCCACTGCCGCCGCCTCCGCCGCTACAGCTGGGAGAATCCGGGGGCGCACTGCCAGCGCTCATCAGCGCGAGCAGCTGCCCCGTAACGCTACGGCGTGGGGAGCCTGTTGCGCCAGGCATGCCCCCTGACATCGACACGCGAGCTCCAACGGGCAGCGGGCCGCCACCGCCGCCAGCAGCAACGGCAGCGGCGCCGGCATCACTGAGCTCTCGTTGTCGCTGCATGGATCCGCAATCAGAGCCCCGTGACCCCCAGCCAGCACCGCTGCGGACGCCAACGGCTGCCGACCCACGGCGCTGAATGACCGCCGCGGGGCTGGCGGGTGCGATGGTGGTCGCCGCTCCTGCCGCAAGGGTCGCCGGCAGGGCCGTACCCGCCGCAGCCGCCGCTGCCATGGCCACGGAGCTATCCGACTGGCGACGGGTCCGGCCGCCGCCCGGGCGGGGCCCGCCGGAGGGGATGCGGCCCAGCTTGCCGCGAGGCTGCCGAGGCACCAGCTGCGGACTGTTGACGTCAGATGCCCCTGTGCCGGACGCCGACATGCGACCGCTGCCGATAGCGGGCAGGCGTGTGGATGCTATTCGGCCGCTGCAGGGACGGCGCGGCGGCCCGTAGGCCTCCACGTCCGACGTGTGGCCCGGGATGAGGGCTTCGGGAAGCGAGGAGGAGGAGCACTTGCCTGAGGAATGGAAGACGAGAAGGGAGGCAGGGGAAGAAGAGAATTGAGGAAGTAACAGCCTAGATAACCCACGTCGTTTGCGGATGTGAACTTCGTTCGGATCGGGGAACATACGGGGACTTCGGAGAGACCGGCGCGCCCCTGCAAAGCTCACAGGGGGTTATCGAGGGACCCTGGAGGCCCAACCCCTTCCTTATAATCATGTGTGCTTCAGCAAAGCAACCCGGCGCATATGCTTTCTGCCGTCCGCGCCCTCCATTTCGCCCGTCCCATCCCGTTGACAAGCCCTCTTCATTCTTTTTTTCCACCGCACCCGACGAAGATTTCCGGAGCTCTGGCTTCCGCTTGGGTCTGGCTTCATCGCCGCCTCCGCCAGCTGCGACTGCGGCCGCTGCTTCACCGTCGACTGCTGCGACAGCAGCAGCCGCCGCGGCGGCCGTTGCCGGGCAGCCGCTGTCAGATACGCCTCGCCGTGGCGGGCCGCGGCCCTGGCGTAGCCGCTCGGGGACTTCTGCCAGCGCCTCGACAGCTGGCTGCTGCGGCTGTTGTTTCTTGCGATGATAATGCGGCGGTGACAGGTCCACAGGGGGAACGCGCTCCAGGCCGGGCTCGACGGCAGACTCCTGCGGACCGGAGAGTAATTGCCGGAAAGAGGGTAATTGGCCGGCGAGGGAAATCAATTCGCACTGCGTAATGAGCTGCTGCGGGGTAGTGTGCTTCCGCCGTCAGCGCGCTGCTCATAATGAATAATGCCGTGCGTGGAGCATAGGGGGCGATGGCCCTTGTGTGACACGTATAAAATCGCCCGAAACCAGTCGTATGTCCTTCCAAACAGGAAATGCTTTAGGTCCCTAGCGTGGTCCACGGTTCCTTTCGACCTCCATACCCTTAGCTGCTCATAATGAATAATGCCGTGCGTGGAGCATAGGGGGCGATGGCCCTTGTGTGACACGTATAAAATCGCCCGAAACCAGTCGTATGTCCTTCCAAACAGGAAATGCTTTAGGTCCCTAGCGTGGTCCACGGTTCCTTTCGACCTCCATACCCTTAGCTGCTCATAATGAATAATGCCGTGCGTGGAGCATAGGGGGCGATGGCCCTTGTGTGACACGTATAAAATCGCCCGAAACCAGTCGTATGTCCTTCCAAACAGGAAATGCTTTAGGTCCCTAGCGTGGTCCACGGTTCCTTTCGACCTCCATACCCTTAGCTGCTCATAATGAATAATGCCGTGCGTGGAGCATAGGGGGCGATGGCCCTTGTGTGACACGTATAAAATCGCCCGAAACCAGTCGTATGTCCTTCCAAACAGGAAATGCTTTAGGTCCCTAGCGTGGTCCACGGTTCCTTTCGACCTCCATACCCTTAGCTGCTCATAATGAAGTGTTCTGGATCTGCGCGCCCTTGCCCCCTTTTTCCTCTCTCCCTTCCTCCCCTCTGCCCCGTACCTCAGGCTTAATTGCTTCCGCCTTGAACTGCTATCGCATTGGCCTCCTCAATGAACCGCTTGGCCTCCGGCCCAAGCACCTTGAACAGCGCAGTGAAGAGCGGGGCACGACAGCGGGAAACCGAAGAGTGAGGGCTTTTGGGACGCGGAGCCGGCGAGTCGGGAACGAGCACCTACAACACCTACATCCACCGATAGAAATCCTACAGAAAGGCCTCAACCCCCCATACGGTGTGCCCCTCACCCTGTCACCCTCAACTCATCCCATGCCCGATACTGCCTCACCTGCGGTATGAAGTAGCTGAAGGAATTAACCCGGGGCAAGCGCTTGGGCCCCGGTCTGCGGGACATAGCCAGCTGCCACCTGGCTATGGCTCCCACCAGCAGGAACAGCCGCCGCCGTGCCTGGTGCGTCCTCAGGCGCCACTCGGCGGGCTGGGGGGACGCCCACAGGTTCGCCTCACTACCTCCGTCCTCTTCATCCGCGTGGTTGCCGTCTGCGGAGGGAACGGGAGAAACGGGAGGCATTTTCAAAGGTTTGCGGACAATATGGAGACAGGAACCCTTGGTTAGGTTCCTTTCTCCGTATTGTCATGCGTTGAGTCCCCCGTAGTCCCTTTCTCCCCACTCCCAGACCCTTACCCCATCCCTTCCCAAGCACCGCTTGCAACCGGCCGCCCTGCCAGCGATTGGCGGTTTCCGGAGAAGCGTCTCTACCCCGGCCCCTCCTCCTTTCCCCTTGCGGCCCCCTCCCACCCTCGCCAGCCACCCACGTTCTTCAGGCTTCCATGTGGCGGCTACTTTGGACTTAATGGCGGGTAGGTTGAGCGGCTTGATGCCTGGAGCGCCCTTCACCACGTTGACACTGTAAAAGGGAGGACAAAGCCGGGCGGAAGCTACCGGCGTTAATGAAGCCGGTGGCCAAGATAGGAGCATGGGATCCAGACGAACCCCGGGCGTATTGGGAATTGTGGGAAGAAAATCACCCCATTCCAGCACGAGCGGGGCTGTGATGCACACGCCAAAAAAGGGTGGGGATGCTTATAGGGCGCAGGGGCAGAATGCAACAGCAGCAGTCGTGATTCGGTAAGCAGCCTCTGATACACAAGCCTGAAATGAAGAAACGCGATTGGGGCTTCAACCGAGGACGCGATGAAAGGGCATGCAATGGCCTGAGGGACACAGCAGGGACACGAGCCGGGCCCGCAACGGGCCCATGTCGTGAGTCTGCAAGGCGTAGGGTTAGGACGGAGGCAACGCGACGCGTAAGACTCTTGGCTGGCACTGGGCAGTTGCGTAGGTCAGTACACAGTCTGGACAGCCTGGGCAATAGCCATCCGGTCGAGCGCGCGACGTCCCGAGCCCCGAAGCCCTCATCTGGTCCCAACGGTGCCAGTAGGCCCCTAGCTTTGTTAGTTGTTTACGCCATCCGTCCCAGAGCTGCACAACCTGCCATGCTATCCCGTGCTCCAAACCGCCACCGGACACTGAGAGCCGCAGGGCAAGGGCTTTGAGGCCAGGGAGTGGAAGCATGGCCACCTATCCAGGCTGCTGCTGCTGTTGCCGTCGCCTTTGCCCGACACCTATGCCTCTTCCACGCACGTATGCACCGGGCCCATGTGTGGCGGCAGGATATGATATGCGGCTCGTCCGGATCAAATGACAGGAGGTCTATTTGCTGGGAGTGGGGACGCTGGGCGGGATTGGCTAGTACAGCTCAATTTCCGCTGAAGATTGATGAGAAGGAAGGCAGAGGTTGCGGCAGCAGCGGCGGAACGGGCCAGCTCGGTCTCGGTGTCCCTGAGCTGGAGCTTCCTCACATCTGCCGTTTCGTATGCGTTGATGTTCTCAGCTGGGAAGCCCCAGTCTCTGTGCTGAGTGCAACGCATCGGATAATAGGTACTCCTGATGCCGCCGCCACCACCGCTGCCTCCTTTATTTCCGCAGCTGCCAACGTGCCCTCCACCTTATGTAATCTGTCCTGCTCTGTGCGCTATGCTCCTCCGCCCACCCACCCCCAGTGTGCAGAGGCGCGCATTCTCCGCTCGCAAGCCGTGCACCTGCACTGACCATGAACTGCATGAGCCGCTCGCTTGCGGCTGCGCTGACTCACTGGCCCACGGGCCCTGACTGCTGCAGTTGTCACCGCGCCGGTCCCCGGATCCAACCGGGTGGCTCCCTTCTGCAACGCACACCTTCGGCGTCCACACATAAGGACTGCTTCGCCACAAGATCAGCAAGCCACGGCTTCGCGGCGGCAACCAGCTCCTCGGCCGGCGGTACCGCTGTCGTGACATCGCGGAGGTGGTTGATAGAGTCGCTTCGTTGTTTTCTCGTGTGCGCCCAGTTGACACTTCCCAGGCTTAAGAGCAGTCCCCTTCGGGAACCGTGTAATACCCAACCCCATCCAGCCTGTACGTTTCACATGCACAGGTTGTTCAACCTTTGCTATCATTACCGACACTTCCCAGGCTTAAGAGCAGTCCCCTTCGGGAACCGTGTAATACCCAACCCCATCCAGCCTGTACGTTTCACATGCACAGGTTGTTCAACCTTTGCTATCATTACCGCCAACACCACACGCCCGGCTCCACAAGCATCCACGTACCGTTTACCGTACTCGAGCATCTTCTTGCGCTGCTCCATCATCTTCCGCCGCAACTCGGGGTCCTTCGCCAGCAGTGAAAAGTCCTTTTGCTGCTGCTGTTGCTGCTGGGCGCCTGCGCCCTCCGCATCCGCCTGTTCTTCCGTCCGCCGCCGCTCATAGGCCCTGGGGGAAGTCAACACCAGCAGGAGGAGGCAATGCCAATTCTCGCCATGACAGCAGCGGTTGAGCTTCGGTGCTGTGCCAGAGACTGACATGCACGCGACCGCCATAATTTTATGCTGCCATTGGGATTGCCCCAAGGCTGCCTACGCCTATCACAACATGGTTGCGGATTTCCCCTCTTGGGTGGGTGTCCAACAAAGCACGCGTGCAGGGAGTAGATAATATTCAAGCGGACCCTGACATGGCACGAACGTGAACGATGGCAACCCCTGGGGAGTTATCCGCGTGTAAACGTGTGCAGCTCGCTCCCCGATGCGGCCCACCTATCCAATCTTTCGCAGATTCCCCTGCTTTACGGGAAACCCACCGAAAGTCTGTGTTCAGGATGAAGTCAGGCAACCGCTCCTGTGGGACTTTCTGGGCCTGTTGCTCTCGCTTCTGGGTCTCGTCATCCATCACTTGCAGCACATGTTTCATGCGCTTTTGTTCGTGCTTGAGAGCGCCCTGCTCGGCACGGATAATGTGAAACGGAAGGGGACTCCTCTTCCGCCACGGCGAGTGCATGCCGGACGAATGCGACGCGAACAGCTCAACGCGCTCATGCGATTCAAGACGACAGTAAAAGGAATATGCACGGCCCACAAGACCCCGAGAGAGAAACTGATTTAGGTTTGCAAACGCAGACGCGCCCCGCACCAGAGATGCGGAGATAGCTAGGTTGTGCACCCAGCCCAAGTCCCCACCTCCAAAAAAACCAGTTTGGCGGTTATGGATTCGCCACGAGCGACGGGAGGTCGACCGGGTCCTACAAAAACAGTCATGCTTCCTGAACTTCGGCTGGAGACGTTAATATCTCATTTTAAGCATACCTCCATGACGATCCAGCTCCCTTGAACGCTCTGACCTCCATTCAGCCAAATAATACTCCTGCCAAGCGGGTTCGGGGTCCAAAAATTTCCTTGACCCACGCGAGCTTATGTTTCCCATTGTTGCACGTCAGTCTTAGGAGTTGTCTAAGTAAGGAAGCATTTGTTTGGGATGAAAAACTGTAGGAAATCCAAGAATATCAAGTCGCCCCAGCCTTCCGCTCGGAGCGTACATCCTTTTAACTACCCATATAACTCTTGCGTGTGATTACGAACGAAGCGCACAAATATCCTTTTTCCTTTACAGAACGTGGTGGCAATCGTTGGTTCAAGGGTACGGCAACACACGGCAACGACCAGAACCCCTTCCGGGGTTGTGCGAGACAATGTATGTTCGTCACGTTTTCCTTATAGATTTGTTCAGGCCATTGCATGAGGTAACTTGGGCTCCTGACCTGGCTTACCGATTTTCAAAATGCGGATCCTGAAAATTGGTGCATTCTGGGTTGCCGAGCCCACAACCAATAAATAACACCCAAGGATTCCAGTATTGCCCCATTCCTGGTAAAGTCGTATCTTAACCCACCGCCAGCCATCCCATCCTGCACAACGGCCCAACAGCTCGTGACCTGAATCGCTTCTTATAATTGATCCGGCTGACGGCCCCCGTAAACCTCAATGCAATCATGTAGAAAATTTTCTTTGGTTTCAGTTCTTGTCCATGCCGCCAGACTGCAGCTTCGCCGGCGAGCTCGGCCGCCGCTTGGCTCCAAGTTGCTTCCTAAGGATGCGGCTGGATAAAGCGGCGGCGTGTAACATCTTTGCATATTTTTCTAATTTATGCAGGATGCCAGGGCGTCTCGTGTTGCTCCCCAGCCATACCCGTATTCATGGTTTTGAACGAACCCTGCAAGCAATAGCTCTTCATGGTTGCCCGACCCCCTCGTGCGTCGTCCCAATAGCAAACACTATTCAGCAGCCTGCAGGATGATTGATAGTTGCATAGTCGGACGCCTCAAGGCGTACTCGGTGGGCGCGTGAAGGTAGGGCTCGCGTTGTTGCCGTGCTGCAGCGAAACTTGTGTATAACAAAACCTTTGGTACTAATCCAAGAGCAAAAGGTACCAATGTCCACCTGGAACACTTTCGCGCGGTTCTTTTCCAGGAGGTGGATACAACGTTGTTCCGGGGTGACTACGATGGCAGCGCACCAGCTGGATAGCAAAGCAAATCTGCCTTGTGAGGAAGCGCCAGGCGCGGCCCAAACGGGCTCAGCGCAAGGCTCTATAGCTCCTCACTTTAGCTTCCTCTTTAAAGTATCGGAAATGTTTACGACCAAGTTACTCGGATCGTGCATGCGCCTCGTCCACAGCTCCACATCTCTCTTCTCATTTGGGTCGGCGTGACAAAGTGGCCATCAGCGGTGGAGAAATGTGTATGGTACTGGAGGTGCCGCATGCTGGTGGTGGTAGTAATAGTTGTTACAGTGGAGCCCGAACGGCTCTTGCGCAACACCCTAATGAGCGCCAACCGCACAACAATGTGGGGCTTACACGGCCAAGCATACTCGGCTCACTGACGATATAGCTTCAGCAAGCACACAATCGAAGCCAGGAAATGCCAGAAAACATGAAAGTTGCTGGTTGTCGGTTCCATGACAACCTTTTTCATTACACCCTTCAAGAGCAAGGAACAGGTGGTTAGAGGGTGCGGAATCCCAGAAATCCGAGACCTAAGTGCGGGCAATTCGAAGGATGGCAGTCGGGGCAAGACGGGTGACCAGATAATCGATGTAACATTCTACGGTGATGCCATGACCACGCCTGACTTGCGGACGGACCTAGGATTGCGTTGAAATGCGTATGGATACATGCCACGGAACACACTCTGTGCTTAATCGCACAACGCAGACATGTGCGCATTCAGGTGACATGACGTGAGGAAACCGTTCACGAGCACAGTTCGCGGAGTTGGGCAGGTGACGCAAGCCCGCCTACGCAATTTGGTCTGGCATTGTGCCAGCTGTACAATCCTGACCTGCATGACCTAACTTAACACCGCGCTGTTCTACACTTTTATTCATTCCTCTTCAAACTGTCCGAAACGAATTGTCCTCTTTCGTTCTGACTATTCTGACCTCGCGCAGCACCGCTCCTAATACGCGGTGTCAAAAAAATGACCCCAGGGCGTTTTCGCTGTCCTGCCGTTTCGCAGAGCTAGAAACCCTTAGTCCCTGCCCAACATCTGCCGGATCTGCCGCTTCAGTAGCGGCGGCAGCAGACGTCGCCAGCAATTCGCGGCCCAGTGGAACGAACGCTCGGCAGGGCCGTGCGCCAAAACTGTTGCGCATCGGCTGCGTCTTCCACCACAGCCGCTATGGTACGTAGTACATGTCAATCCTCCAGGAGGCTGGCCCCTCCTAGACCCATATCGGGGTCCGCGGCATGTGGAGTGAAATCATTGCGCCACTGTAACTCCTACTGCTTGCGGTGTATGCGTGTGGGTGGGTGCACACGCTTCATACCCAAAGGCATCATTCATTGCTGACTGGCGACTGATGCCTGACGGCCATTGTACCTGACTGTTAAGCTTGACCGCTGACAAATTCTTCTCAACGATACCTCACAGTCCCTTGGGGCCCAGCTGTAATGTGTCGTGTCCAATCGCAAGCAGGACATAAGGAGCGGCCATTATGCGACCACAAGGAGGGGCCCGGACGGCGCCTTGGTGGACAAGCCAAAGGTACGTGGGTATTGAATGAGGTCCATTAATTCTTGGCCGGAACCATCGACCCATGGGTCGTTGGTGGCCGGTTCCCTGGACGCCGAATGGCAGAGACCCACGCAGCTCACCAGCGCTGGCGACCTCGTCAAACGAGTTCATTGAAGTGCCGCCTGCTCTTTTTGTCGGGTGCAGAGTTATGGACGTACCTTGGGCTCACGACTGTTTGTTTCTTCGGTTTTAATATGGTCCTCAACCGACGGCCGCAACCAGTTTTCGCGCCGCCTGCATTCTGCTGTTGACGTTGCCGCCTTGCTGCGTCTGATGCGTTCGCTGTTCCCGACGATGCCGATGCTGCCACAGGACGAACTCCAGGCGGCAAAGGAGCGCATCATTAAGCAGCAGGCCGCGGAGGGCAAGATGCCGGGGGCAATGCTGATGCAGGTCGGCGTTGGAGATAAGCGGCTGGGAGCCCGGCATGTGGGCGCTTTCCCGCACCCCAATGCCACGCATTGTGCGACTGGTTCCATGCCAGCGCTTGACGGCTTTCACCTTGAGAGTTGGCCTGTGACTGCGGCTGGGGTTACCTGCGGCCCGGCCTTATTTACACGCGTCTGCGCTTGTGTCGAAAGTGAGCATTTCCTTCTTGTTATGCGGCATACAGCGAAAAAAATGCAAACAAGTCCCAAAACGTTCCGTATGGCTCTGGTCAGGCCTGGCCTGATCAAAGACTTGAGTATGCATGATGCTGTTGGCTACAACAGCCAACCCGGACGGGAAAGGCAACCCCCGTCCTGAGCGCCATTCAAAGTGCTGGGCTTGCCGACCCTACCTTTCTGATGGCTTGGCCTCCTGGCAACACGCAGGACCGCGCAGGCGACAACAAGCAGGAGGCGTGGGGCAATGTGTCGGCCGACATGTACGACGAGGGTGCATCGCAGATGTCGTACGCCACACCGGGATTGGACGCAGGTGTTGGCGGCAGCGGCGAGTCGGAGGACCGTCAGCCCGTCACCCGCGGTGCGGAGAGCGGAGTGCGCCGGCCTGGCGGTGGGACCGGGGCGGAGGGCGGCGGCCAGGGGGGGGACAGCGCTGTTGTGCACCATCCGTGCGCTACAGCTGGGATGGCGGAGGGCGGTGGTCGAGCTGGGGAGTCAGCTGTTATGCAGCAGCAAACGGCTGGTTGCGGCAGCGCGGCGGAGGGCGGAGGCCGGGTCGTGCGGTAGCGGGCAGTCGGCGACATCGACCGCGTCGTTGTGGGTAGCGGCCCCAGCCGTGGTGCATGCTGAATAGGAAGGAAGGTTGGATGTCAACATTGCATTTGTAGGTAGTATTTTGAACATGCTGATCAATTTCGTTGGGCAGTGTGACTCACGGAGATCTTGTACTGTTGTTGATGTTGTTACAGGGTGGTTAAGCTTCACCAGTGGCCTCCTTCCCGAGGCAGTTCCCTGCTCTCCCCTGCTAGAGGGGCACCCTAAGCCATTCACCCCATCCGACTTCAGAGTATACTCTTTGAGTTTGGCAACTCACCACCAGCATCCAACCAAATCTAGCGGATCAACGGCGCGTCAACTTGTTGTTGTAACGTTTCCGCTCCCCCTCGCCTTTACCTGGCATGTGCGACCTGGCATGTACGACCTGATCTGGAGTCCCCGATCAGCTTCGGCCTTGAACAGCCCTATTGGTTGAGGACGGTTACCAGTTCGGCGTGCTGGACCATATCGGCTGTTGCTCCTGACTTCGTACAGCAGACACTTGGGAGCTTGGTCTTGCGGGCTCGTTACAGATGCCTTAAGACACAACAGAGGTCTAGGTGTAGTGTACCAAGAAGATCACGGAGGGAAAGGATGGATAAATGGAGGCGCTTATACTCTTCTCAAGTTCAAAAGCCCCACACGGGCTGCATCGTAAGCCTCCGAGAAGGACTCGCTACCCTCTGATATCAGAGTGATAACTAAAATCGCATGGCGTGGCGTGAGTGCTGCCCCTGGGCCCGTCTGTACACGGACAGCTAACTGAGTTGTGGATACGGGTGGACTGATAGCATCTCGGTTTCCGCCGGGTCACACGCGGGCAACTGCACGGTACATTCGCGTCTGGAGGGCCCCAGTTGAGAGTCCGCGCCAGGTGCTGTGTGTCCGCAGCCAGGTGCTGTATTTGAGACAGCTACGTTAGGGAGCGGCCACGTGAAGGGGCCGTATCTTGCACGAAGTTCTGGTGGGATGGCCCTCTTTAGAGCCAATTCAAAAGGCCGCCAAGGCTCAGATGCATACTCACACTTGGACTTTGGATCTCCCCGCTGCTTTGGATTTCCCCGCACAAATTAGTACAAAGATTGACGGACTGCCGACCCACGGGACACTATAAAAGCTGCTATCGGCTTTCTGATGCCCCATCGTTTCACATGCGGCGTAAAAGACATCCTACGGATGCTTCCCAACCTAACCGTCTTCCCGGACAACGCCGGATTGCTGGCCTGCAATCACCCTTTGGCCTGTTCCGAAAGTCCTTAGCGGTCGGGGGGGTGGTGCTTTTCCTCCTCTTCGGTGCCGTTCCGTGTTCGCCTCTGGGCTCTGCGTTTTGGCCTTCGCCTCGGATGTTTGCAGGTTGATTGCAAGACCTGCTTCGGTTGTCCCTGGTTAGTGTGCATGTTTCCTCGTTCCCTCTCTCCCATTGCTATGTAGTACAGCCGTCCTTCCGAAAGAAAGGCAGAAGGCAGCGTGGGTCCGCTCTGACGCTGCTCTGGAAGTGCGGCTGCCACATAATGTATAAACGAAATGCGTGTCTTACGTTAACGCTCGTACGACGGTGCACTTTTGCATGTGCACGCAACCAGCATATAAACGCTTTATGCCATAAAACATTGGATGCATTCATGCGCTTCAGATGCGCATGCCGTAATGTTAGTTTGCTCGCACCGTCTTGCGAAAGTACGCCAACATCAAAATGGTCCTCATTATCATTCCGAATGCCATCGTTTTAGTCAGGAACCTTCTTGTGCAGTTGTGGTCAGCGTGGGACTCCATCCCACAGTCTCATCCGGCCCTCGCAACGCTCCGTCAAAAGTATGAAGATGCATCTAGGGACAGACAGAGGGGTGGTTCTGCTGAAAGGACTCTGCAGGACGCGTTCCCAAGGCACGATGAACCTCCCCTGCATACCACAGTCTCCCCACACACGCGCACACGCATCCATCCTCGCCCTGCTGCTGCCCCCGCATGCACACATACATTCAAGGATGCACCGCTCTCATAGCCCAACGCAGGAATCGGTTCTTCTCCTCACTGGCAATAAACGCAACGTGGCTGGAACAAACCGTAGGAGTACTTCCACTCCACCTCAGAGCTGCAAAGGTGCACATCCGCTTTGCACCCCATGCAGCCCCGGGCCTGCGCTGTACCCCTCCCATGCCAGCTTTTCGTTACGCGGCGTAGTGCGAGCACGGCCCCGGGCTGTCAGCCTGACCCCACAGCCCTGAATCTTCCAGAGCAGAATGCTCCTAACAACAGTTATATATGGACAGGGATATACAAAGTTGAACGGCTAGAAGATAGGAAAGAGACGGCAGCAACCTGCAACCTGCCCACAAGCGCACCATCAGCAGCACGCACCGTCCGCTTAGCCCACCCGTGCATCACCCGAGTAACCGCAAGGAAGAGTGTCCACGTCCGCGCCACATACTTCACCCCGCGTCTGTGGCGAGGGTGCTCCCCTCCGCCCCCCTCCTGCGCCCCTCCGAGATGCAGACGGGTCATACATATGTGGACGATGTGTGGACTTCTCACCGCTTAGAGCAAACACAAGCACTCGTCTGCAGGTGCAAGCTTGTTAGTCCGCAGGCATGGGCGACAGCCGGGCCCCTGGCTGGAACAGGAGGAAGACCCAGAACCGGGTGGGCGGGCCATGCCACGTCGTACAGCGTAGCGATGAACTATAAGATGTATTGATTGGACGCCCTGTGCCTCATACCTGTTCCACATGCCGCGGCGCTGCCAGGAAAGCCCTCAATAATCCTAGCCAGGCGTCGCCATACACCTACCCTCCCTCCAGCCCTCAATTTCCCCAGGAGGGCACACACGCGAAAAAAAGAGTTAATCGCCACTATGATCGTTTCAGGCCCATGCATGCTCATAAGTACGCAGTAGCAGCAATAAGAACGCTCAGGCGGAGTGTAGAGGAAAAGGAATGATGCTGCTGATGGCACAGGGCATCATTGCCTCTGGCGCATAGCAGCGAAAGCTAACTACTACTCTACTACTATTACTACTCCACTACTACTACTAATGCTATATTCGAGAAATAGTAATATGTCCTCCCGCGAATGTGATTTTAATGCCAACTGCCGGGGTCAATGCTGCACAAGTCCACATCCTTAAGGGGAGGTAGAAGGCGGGCGTGCATGTGCCGCCCGCGCAAATCCACGCCCCACCAAAGCCCCAAGGCCCATTTCAGACCTCAACCCGACTTCAGCAGTCAATCCACGCACCTGCTTCCCCATCCCGCCCCATTTGCCCGCCTTTTTTCGCGAATCCCCACCTGCCCGCAACTACGCCTAGCAGACGTACGAAAGAAGCGCGCGCGGCAGGACTGAACTTGCCCTGCACGGCGCATGCATGCACAGAATCACAACTGCGTATCCGTTACTTCTCGCTCACACGCCTGCCGTCCATCTACCCGGTGGTTTGCATCCTGCTAGCCGGGCCGCCGCATACGTAACCTTCCGCACAGCAGTGCTCCAATCAGATCACCAAGAACGTGTGACAGCGGTCCCCGCTGCTCATCCTACGTCATCCCACCCTCATCCGCTCCTCGTTCGCAGCAGGAGGTGCGGGAATGTGAGGCAAACGTTTCCTCCTGCAATCGACCCCATAAACGTAAGGGACTCACGCGACGACGCACTAGTGGCGCGCCACGGCGCCCACACAATCGCCAATGTGTCCAAACGTGTTGTGCGTGCTCTGCACGCACGCATGCGACGATGCAACTCTTCACGCAGAAGGGACGAAAGTGGATCTCGAATGCTCACCTGCCGCCAAGGCACTCAACCCAAAAGGCCATATCATCCTCAATTCAAACCAAACTCAACCTCTAACCAAACGCAAGGGTCCGCGGTGGCGCGAGTAATTGCGCAACGAAGTGACGGCTGCTGTAGTGGTAGCTAGCAGGTGTCGTGTTCCCCGCCGGCCGATGCCCACGACCTACCGCACGGTCCCCGGATGGTCCTTCAAGTCCAAGCAACCGTCGTGGTGCCCGTGACGATCTGGGAACCGCAGGCCACATGCATGCCTTTTCCCAGAATTGCCTGCCCGGAAACGAAAAGCTTCCCCGCTCACCATCGCCTCGTACAACACACCGATACACCATCACCAGCTATATTATATGTCGCAAAAGAAACCCCGTTACCAGCTCATGTCGCATCCAGGTGCCGGCACCCTGCTCATGTCAACAGCATCTCATTGCAGCAGTACACGCAATACCGCAGCCTATTGCTGCCCTTACATCACCTGCCAAGTTGCTTACAAGACCTCCGAACCATTTCGCTATATTTTATTTGCTGGCACCCCGCCTGCTCCCGCACTATGTCGCGCCTGCGCCCGCCCGTGGACTCAATGCTGGCTGGCAGGCTGTCTCCGCGCCCCCCTTTCCGAGCCAACAGTCCGAAGCGGTCAGCTTCCGGCATTGTTTAAGGAGGGCCCAGCCAGCCATGAAACACATGCACACATACATACATACATACATACATACATACATACATACATACATACATACATACATACATACATACATACATACATACATACATACATACATACATACATACACACATAGATACATACATACATACTTACACACGCCACTCGTCCAAAGCCATGCCCAACAAAGGCCAACGCGCGACACAACACCGCCTGTAGCCCTCCTCCTCCCCGCCTCCCCTCACCCGGGCGGGGGGAAGCGGGGAGGCACTTCAGGTGCTTGAGCCTGAGACAAGCCGCAAAAGCCGCAAAGAGCACGTTCCCGTGCCGGTCTGCAACTTCCCCCGAACTTGCCGCCAAGCATGTACCCCCAGTGGACTGCCCCAGACGCCGGTCTCCCCATTATACGTCTCTATGCCGGTTGTCTCGTCCGCCCAGGCTCGTCCGCCCCGTGCAGGACCGGTCCGGCACAACCTAATCGGCGGGAGGAGCCTGGCAGTGGGAACTCCACCCGCAGCTGGGTCAGCTCTTATCCTACCGCTGTTGTGACCCTGAGCCAGAGGGCTGTGGGATGCGGGGCGTGGCATTGATTGCCCAACACTCGTCCCCGGAGTCGTGTCCCGTATGTGGCCTGAGGCGTGCTCCCGGAATGCCAAGGTCAGAGCAAGCACCTCTTTATAAATATGCGTTTTATATATACTTATGCATCAACCAGCACCAGCGGCAGCACAAACTAGTGTACGTGTTATTATACGGTGTTGTTATGCGGGAGGAAAGCGCCCATGGAACACATATGGGCATGGGTTGCTTCTGTATCACTGCTGATATTTTGCCTTTACGTGTGAACGGTGGCGCACATGCACGCCTTTCGACGGCAGCGGTGCAGGTTTGGTTTTGAACTTATGCTGTCCGGCGGGGAGGTAAAACCCCGAGAGGCACTACAACCCGGCAGACTGAATGCGGCTCTTCCAGCCCACCAGCTTGCCCTCGTTTGACTCGTAAAAATACATGTGGGGTCCGTCCGACATGACCACCTTGTTGCCGTGTACTGCCACGCACTTGGGACTCACAAACGGCGTGAAAATAGGAACAATGGGGTTATCAGCCTCCGAAACCAACTCCATCAGGCGTGGGATCTCGTCCATGGATGACAGGCTGCTGCGCATGCTCATGGCCGTTTGAAGCACAGGCGGCGTGCCGGCGCCGCCGTCGCGCTGCGAGATGGCGCTACTGCCACTGCCACCACTAACTCCCACGCCCGTGCCCGAGTTGCTGTAACCTGCGCTGCTCAAGCCCAGACCGGCGGCGAGTGGCGTCGTGGGGCGGTTGAAGGTGAAGGTGTAGTCGGTAGTGGTTGAGCCGCCAATGACAAGACCGTTTGGCGAGGTCCGCTCTAACCGCATCGTCATGGAGGGCTGCAGCAGGTGGCTAGGGGTAAAGGAAGGCATGCGGCCGAAGGCCGCACCTGGCGATACCGGGCGCGCTGCGCCGGTGGCGCCGGTGGCGGCGGCGGCGGCGCCGCCGCCACCAGCACCGCCGGAGGCGGCAGGCCGCGGCTTGAGCGCTATGGCGCGCACACACGGCGCGTGGCGCGCAAGGGAAAACATGGAAAACGGGCCGGGGGAGCACAACGCGGCGTTGGCGATGACGCACAGAAGCGTGCCTGACGCGGGGTCCCACACGCGCACCATCTTCTCCTCCAACGACGAGCTGGCCAGCAGCTTGCCGCTCACGTCGTATTCTACAGCCATCACGGCGGCAGTGTGACCCCGGATTAGCACCTGCTGCTCGCCCAGCTGCGGCTGCCACAGCCTCACAGTTTTGTCCGCGGAGCCCGACGCCAGGACCTTGGAGTTGGGCGAGAAGGCAAGCGCGTGGACCGGCGCCGCGTGGCCCTGCGGAGTGTATGGAACGGGGTTTCCGGACAGACAAGACATAGAGAATGCATAGAGATGCCAAAATAGGACAGAAAATACACAGAAGCGGTAAAGTCGCTCGTGTGCCCTCCTCGCCATTTCCTTTCCTTTCCGCTCCGCTCATTTAAGACACACAGAAGCGATGTTGAGTGAGGGCCATTGCGGCACATGGCCAGAATCCCTGATGTAATCCGACTGGAGTATCAAACGAGTTGTAGGGCTGGGGGAACCAGGCGGAAGATTCCCTAAAGAGGTTTTGTCGCATTTCGCAAAACGGGTACTACCGCAGCGGCTACATCGGCCGCGTCGCGTATCGGCACATGCAAAAGAATACGACTACACGGCGTCAGAAAGCTGACATGCGCTGAGCCAGCCCCGCCCCGCCCAGGCCAAGTTAAGCCGGCTAGGGGGACCAGCCCATGCCACCAGAATACTTGGGAGGGCAATCACATGGCCCAGCAACTGCGCAACGCTGGGTCATCATCATGCTGCCCTACGTCGCTACAAGAGACCACTAACCACACGGTGATTCATACATTCACGGCCTGCCTCGCAGTTCCCCTTGCACCCTGCCACAGGTGTCTACACGTGTCCATACCTTGAGCTGCCGTATCGACGTGAAGGACGTCGCGTCCCATATGACGATGTTGCCGCTGTGGCAGGCAGACGCCAGCATCCGGCTGTTGGGCGACCAGGTCACTGCCAGCACCCGGTCCTGGTGACCCGCCAGCATGGCCTTCTCCACCTTACTCACGGGGTCCCACAGCCGCACCGTCCAGTCGGAGGAGGCGGAGGCCAGCAGGTGACCCGTGGGACTGAAGGCAACACAGCGAACCACGTCGGTGTGGCCCTGTGGGAGCGCGGTGGTGGGGAAGGAAAGGCCAGATAGGGTGCGGCTGACGCCATGGAGGCTCGGGAGGGGGGGGAGAGGGAGGGCAGAAGCGAGTGCGAGCGGGACTTCTGCCTTGGTGATCAGGTGAGTGGCAACATGGCCCCTGTACGCGATCATGGATCATGGCTCTCCTCTCGTACCCAACCGTGTCCTCTTGCGCCGTGATGCGGCACGGTCCCGGGAGGCGCACACAAGTGACTGCGGTATCGTCCACAGGGAGGACTTCCGGCCCCAAATCCCTCCCTCCCTCCCTCCCTCTGCCCCATAATCCCCATACAACGCCCGCTCCGAATCCATTCAGCCGCCCCAGCCCCATACCTGCAACATAGCCCTGTGGTTGCCATCTGAAGGGTCCCACAACCGCACTGTCCAGTCCGCCCCCGCTGACGCCACCGTGTGACCACTGGGGCTGAACGCCATGTGCGTCACCATGTCCATGTGACTCGCGTACGACTCCTCAATGCTGCCGCTCTCCGTCGCGACCCGTGGGTCCCACAGCCGCACCGTGTTGTCGCTAGCCGCCGACGCCACCAGGTGCCCGCCGGGCGCAAACGCCGCCGCTACCACGTTGGACGCATGGCCCAGCAGCACGCCCTTGGCGCGCCGCTCCGCCACACTCCATAGCCGCATCGACCCATCCGCAGACGCCGAGACCAGCAGCTTGCCGTCGGGGGCGAAGTTCACGCACAGGACCTTGTCCACGTGCCCCGCCAGCTCCACCTCCGGAGCTGCATCCATCCCCGGCCCGGAGCCGCCGTCAAAGCACGCCGCAATGTCCCACAACAGAATCATCTTGTCATGGGAGCCGGAAGCCAGCAGCTTGCCGTCGGGGGAGAAGCACACACAGGTCACGGGACATTTGTGCGCCGTCAGTGCGCGACCGGCCTGACGCCCCGTGGTGGGGTCCCACAGCCTGATTGACAAGTCGGACGATGCGGACGCGATGAGGTTGCCGTTGGGCGCCCAACACAAGGACGACACCACGTCAGTGTGGCCCAACATCGTGTACCGGAGCTGCGGCTGCGGCCCCCCAAGGTCCCACAGCTTGACGGACTTGTCGTCTCCGCAAGAGGCCAGCAGGCGGCCCGGCACGCCGGGGGCACCAGCGGGGGCAAAAGCCACGTCACGCACCCAATCGACGTGCCCTGCCAGCTCCGCCTTCTCCTCCCCGGTACTTGCGTCCCACAGACGAACCGTGGAGTCCAAGGATGCGGAGGCGATGTAGGCGCCGTTGGGCGAAAAAGCAACTCCCAGCACCTGCCCTGCGTGGCCAAACAGCACCGCCTTTTGTTCGCCAGTCAGTGGGTCCCAGAGCCGCACGCTGCGGTCCTCCGAGCCCGACGCCAGCAGCGTGCCGGCGGGATTGAAGGACACGGAATTGACGGCGCGGTGGTGCTGTGCCAGGATGGAGAGCTGCGCGGGCCAGGAGCGACGCTTGTTGAGCAACGTGACGGGCGGCGCGGCGCCAGCGGCGGCGCCGTAGGCGGCAGCTGCACCCTTGAGTGCGCCCTCCGCCGCGCAGAGGATCTCGGTGGTGATGGTGCTGCTGCGGCGCGGCCGCCTCAGCGCAACCATGAAGGCGCTGCTGTTGGGGGCCTCATTGGCGAGTTGCACGACGGCGGAGGGGTGCGCCCACAGCACATGGGAGTTGAGGCCCAGCCAGCGAACTACGTCCGCCACGGCGCGGCTCTTGGGCTCAGCGGCCGCCAGCTCAGCATGGAGCCGGAACACGTGCCCCACGCGACATACCGCCTAAGGGGAGGAGCAGATAAGGAGCCAGGGCGGGGCGGCGAGGAAAAGGTTAATTGTGATAAAGGGCATACCGACGTTGCTGGTGTCGTCGTGGGTTTATGCCGCTTCCGTTCAATACAGTACATCAATACAAGCCCGCCCGCACCTCCAGGTGGTCCAGGTCCGTGACGACCTGGTCCAGGAGCTCCTTGAGCTGCCCGGCCGCCAACAAGTGAGTCACCAGGTACTTAGCACCGTAAGAGGGTAGCGGATGGGCGGCGTTGAACAGATAGCGAGCCAGAGTCGCGTGACCGACCCGTGGGTCAGCGTGGTACTCGCCCGCCAGCGAAGGGTCGCTCAGCCAGTCGTGGAGCGACTTATGCAACGTGTACACGCGGTACTCGCGCTCGTACAACAGGGTGCCCCAGCCGGGCAGCAGGGTCAGCACGTTTTCTAGCCCCAGGCCGGCGAGGAGGGACAGCTGCAGGGGCTCGTGGGCCGCCATGAGGACCTGGGGCGCGATGAGGAAATCATGTGCGAGTTCGGGTGACTGGGTGAGGAGGGATCCTAGAAGGCAGGATCAACCACCTTGGACTTGCAGTTCGTATGGCGCAGTTCAGTGCGGTAATGGTGGAGGTGCTGTAGGGTTATAAATCGTAGAAATGACAATATGTGATCAATTGGCCCAGAAGCCTCCCACTCTGTAACAAACAACAAAATATGCGAGAAGCAAACGATCAACTGCCTGGACCTGGGGCCCCCAGCGCAGGTTAGTGAACGATAAACGAAACCATGTATGCTGGTGTGTAGTGGCACCACTACCATCACCATCACCACCACCACCATCACCATCACCATCACCATCACCATCCCCGCAATCACCATCAACACCATCCTAGCCCAACACCCAACCGCCAGATCTAACCTCCCCAACCTCTCCCACCCCCCACCTTTCCACATACCACCACCTTCACCGCAACAACACGTTCCCGTGACCCACCGCACCTGAAGCGCCCTCAGCGCCTCGCTGCGCTGCTGCGCCGTGAGCTTGGGCCATGTGGCGGAGAACACGGCGTTGTAGCAGGCGGGCAGGTCAGCAGGCACCGCCACCAGCGGAGGGTCCAACAACATCACTACATTGTAGTACACCAGGTTGCTCTCACCCGCCGCACAGCCCATCACCGCCGCCGCCGCCGTGGCGCCGAAGCGGCTCGTCAACCGGCGCTCCAGCGCGACCAGGGTCGTCTCGCGCTTTCGCACCATGGCCGGGGTCAGCTCCAGCGCGCCGTGGAATTTGCGGCGCAGCGGGCCCATGAGGTGGGGTGCAGAACGGGTCGAGGTGATGACCCGGACGTTGCGGGGCAGACATGACAGCTGGTGCAGCATGAGCTGGAGCACCGAGTTGTCCAGGGGCAGCTGGTGGTGCGTGTCGGCCTCGTCCATGGCATCAACCAGGAGGACCACCTGGCCGTGCAGGGGGGAGATCTTACGGTGAAGAGGGTGATGCAAGGAAGGAAACCAACGGGTAAGCTGCCGGCAGGTCCAAAGCAAAGGTGGGCTAAGGGAGGAGCGTGTGCTAGTGGTGGTAGGGGTGCTGGTGCGGGTGGACCATCACATCGGCTCAAAGTGAAGCATCTGAAACCGACTACACCGGCAGCTCTTCAACCATCAAAAGATCTAAATTCAAACCGGCACGCAGCGTAAGATCGGGACGCCGCGCAGCCTCTCCGTGCCAGCGGCCAGACCAAGGGCCCCAACGTTACGCCAACATCGAGCCGAGCCGCCGCTACGCCCCTCCTCTCCACCGCTACCCCCACACCCGACCACACCCACTCCATCCCCAACTCCTGACCCACCTGCTCGTCCCTGGGCAGTAGTGTGGTAAGGGGCTTCAGTAGCAGCAGCCGGAAGGCCGTGGAGGCCTGGTGGAGCTGTTGAACCTGCGGGTACCAGGGGGAAGCAGGGCGGAGAGGGGTGGAGTAAGAAACGTACGTGTGTCGAGGAGTGGGAAGCCATGTGTAACTGTAGAGGGAGTTGCAGATCGGGTCGGGGTTGAGAGAGGAAACACATACGACATTGGATAGATAGGGGTGCAAGGGTAAAGATGGGGATAGCGAGCAGTTTAAAGCCTCCCTGGGGAGGGGGGGGGTCAAAGGGTACTGGAGGGCGCAGAGTGCGCATGCAAAGGGGTAAGAAGCGCAGACCAGGTAGGGAGGAAACGGGGCTTGCAGCAGCCCTTCCCCATTACAAGGAAGGCAAAGGCAAAACCTCTCGCTCTCCTTTACAGTTCATACCATATGACACAGCAAGGCTATCCCGATACGCGCTATGAATACGCCTTAAGCACACGCAGCCTAAAGCTCCTTAAAGCTCCTTGTCCGAGTACCCAAAAACTCAAATCGAAAGTCGCCAAACACGACCCAGCCTCAAGGAGCCCCCCGAAGGTTCAGGAGCCCAAGCGTGTAACGAACAAAGACATCCCATGTTAGCCGTGAGCTCCCTAACGCGAGCAACCCAAAACCCCTCCCCCCCCACCTCGTCACTCGGCCCCCTCCCATCCAGCAGTTGCTGATTCGGGCGTGTGACGGCAAATGGCACTCTGCTTCTTCTCGCCCCATCATTATTTCATTTCCTCTCTCTCAGTTTGCAATCTCTTTGCGCACACTGGTTCCGATAGACTCTACCACCAGCCAAACACGCACACCACACACCTCCCATTTTCCATCATCCTCAAGCCCCGGGACACACACACACACACACACACACACACAAACACACACGCACCTCCCCCAGGTCCAGCCCCGCGTAGTAGGACCTCAACAGCGGCAACCTCTGCGCCAGCTGGTACGCCAGCGTCTTGACGATGCGGATGGGACTCTGCCGCCGTACATCGCTGTACTTGCAAAAGTGGTATGCGTGCACTATGGGGTCCGAGGTGGCCTCCAGGCCGCTGATTTGGCGGGTCAGGCGGGCGCCGTTGGGCAGGTACACACGGCCCTGAGACAAAACACGGTCCGGGTGAGCGGAGAGCGTGCCGCAGGGAGTGAGGGGAGGGGGACGAAGGCGCGGGGGCATCAGCGGGGAGAAGAGCGGGGAGAAGAGCGGGGTCAAATGCAGGGGAGGGGGAAATGTTGATGAACGGTTACGGAGGAAAACACTCAACCCGGGCAAGGGAAGGGGAAGCAAGGTGTGATCAGGGAGATGTGTGTACATCGAAACAGCATCCCAAGAATGACGGAAACAACCATCCATCTGCCCAGTCCCAGGTCCCCTCCCCCTCGCCCCCGCCTTCCTCCTTCATTCCGCATAAGCCCCGTGTCCTTGAGCTGTCTGCCTGAGCTGCACTGCATTCGGCCGCCGCTGCGGTGGGGCGGTGGCGGCGATGGGGGTCGTGCACCTCCACCGTTCACCGCCTCCCCCCACACACGCCCGCGCCAGCCCCAGCCCCAGCCTCACCCTCGCCAGCGTCCGCTCTCTCCGCTGCTGCGCCTTCTCGTCCCAGCACAGCGCCGCCGAGATGGTGGACTTGCCGCTTCCCGCCGGGCCGCTGATGACGCACACCTGCGGGGAGCGCGGCGAGGTGAGCCACATCTGCAGCGGCGAGAAGTCGTACTCCTGGGCGCCACCAGTGCCCTCAAGAAGCGCCTGTGACGGGAATAGGGGGCATAAGCGGTTGGGAGAGGGCATGTTGGCTACTCAAGGAATGGGGCGGGATGCGAAAACGTGGGGGGGGGAGGGCTAGAGGTAGGGGACCGGCGTTGAGGGTGAGCGGAGAAGACTGGGACGGGCAAGCGGCAAGCTCAGGGCCGGGGCCGTCAAGTTTTCAGCTTCAAAAAGCGGAGGATGAGGGGACAATTGGGGTATTAGTAGTAAATTACAAGAGATGGAGGAGGGGGCTTATGGGTAGCAGATTCATCAGTATTGAGCATCATCAAGCTTTGCGTCGAATGGTGAACTGCAAGGGCGCCGGGTCCTTGCCAGACAGCCAGGCAGCAAGCCAGTGTCGGATTGCAACCCCGCATCCCGCTGCCATGCGAACAACAACACCCCCACCGGCTGACAGGCCGTTCCTATCCATCTGTCTATGCCTCGGCCACACACCCTCCCGCCGAGATCCACACACCGGCAGCGCGCTACGCGCCACCGTGTCACGCCATTTACCAATCTTCCGCTCTTGGCCCCGGCTCCCCTACCTGCCCCCAGACAAAGCCCAACCCCCTCCCCCTGCGCGTCCCCACCCCGGGGCTTCCCGCATACACCAAGCTCTCCCCCTTTTGCCCCCTTCCCCCTCCCCTCTTCCCGCCCAGCCGGTCCGCCGCACCTCCAGGTCCGCCTGCATGTCCAGCGGCTCCAACAGGAACAGCAGTTTGAGCTTGTTGTCGAAGGCGGTGGTGGAGCCATGGTGGGCGATGATGTCCTCCAAAATCTAGCGAGGGAACGGGACGCAAGGAGCAGCAGGAAGAACATACACGGAGCGCTGACGCCTGCAACTCAGGAAAGGAAACAAGGCCCGCAGGAGGGCTCCTAGGTCCGCACGGCTCAAGATCTCCACATCCCTAGTCGTCGCACGTAAGAGGGCAATAGGGCAAGCTGCAGGCAGACGGGCGGGCAGCGGACGTGTCTGGTGTACTTCTCAGGGGCTGTCAACACAGGTGCCCTGGCACAGATCCTGCCCCTTTCCCTCCCTTCAATAGTTCCCGGCCGAACCTTCTCCTTATCGGACTGCTTGTAAGCGCCCGCATCCACCACATTGATGGAGGTGAAGACGGAGGCCATGTCCTGAGAGACAGTACGGAGTGGGGCAGGAAAGGGTTTGGATGAATCAGGGCTGGGCAAATGGAACG